GCCTTTAATAGCGTCAATTAATAACGCGCTGCAGATATCGATAGGCCGCGGTGCCAAAAGCTCTCGTAATGAATTGGCCTATTCAGTTTCCTCTGTGGCTCAAGTGTCCCACTGGCCACACCGAGGGCACTTTGAAGCTCCGTGTAACTTAGAATGTGGTTAAAGCGGGGGTATTTCAAATAACAAACATTCAATACGTAACAAAATCCATTTAGCTTTCATGAGAGTTCCTCGCTCTCAAAACAGTTTCGTCCATGTATTATTGGCCTTTGTCACAACTTTAGAACAGATTATTCAGACAGTAATGTGAAAAAGCACAGGAGCGCACTCACCCAGCCCAAAGCGTCAAACATTGACACTGCAAAGTATAAATATACATGTTGGAAAATGTTTTGTTCTGTGTTCGTCATAATGTAGCATACCTCTACCGTTGGAACAAAACAAAAAAAAGTAAATTCAATGTGATTTAAAGGAGACGTGTTGTGCTAATATTAGGGCTGTTAAATTCTATCACGTGAAGGTTTTTCTGTTCAAAGCAAGTCCTGTTGGTTAAACTTATTATTTCATTTTTCACACCTGTGTACCGTGTATTCTGCTTGCCCTCGCAGTCACTTGTGCTGAATGACATTGGTTACGTCGCCTAATCGTATAGATCAGAATCAGAATTATTTTATTGCCTGCTCTGTAAAAGGAAGTCACAAACTAGGAATTCACTTTGGCTCTATATGGTGCAATCAAGTTCTGAAAGTAAAAATAGATGAGGCATGGATCAAAATCTTAAAAAGTGCACATGTACACGCAACAGTAAAGTCTATTCTGAATCAGAACCTGGATGATTCACTAGCATTTTTGCTGAAATAAACAAAAAAGCAGATTGCTACCTCAATACATGGTCTGAGTGACGCTTGTCAGGCCTTTGATGTCATGTGACCACGTTTTTCTCTGACGTCACATAAAGGGGCAGAGCACAGAGCGATTCGGAGAGACTGAGAATAGTTGCGTACAGACAATGAACAAAATATACCCAATCTTAATCCTCTAGAGTCAGATAGACGTTAAACAGCAGACAGATTTTTAGTAACAATGAAGTAGAGATAAATGGGCGGGGATAGGTAGGTGGTGAGTGAAAACAGACATTTTTCAAAGCGCAGAAGATTACGTTACTAGCTCCAACAAGCGAGAATCAATGGATATGAAACTATTGGGCTTAGCTAACGCCAAAAGTTCACCAACGTAGCAACGCTCATAAAAGTCCGTTTCAGATCATACATGCCCCCTTTAAGACACACACACGTTTTTCGTATTACACTCCACTTCTCTTACTGTAACTTACAGCATTCGTGTTCACATAAATCTCCTGTACATGCACTTATGTGAGCTTAATCCACGTGAAAGATGTTGTTTCGGAGCCAAAGCGATTGACAAACGTCCGCCAGCCCACCGAACCGTCCGCGCGTTTTGCCATATTTAACCCCAAAGTACAAGTTCGCGCTGTCAGAAGCTAATGCACTAAAAGGACTCTGGTATGAGGGGAGCACAGAGGAGAGGGGGGGGGGGGGGTGAAGGACACCTGGGCCTGGTAATGGCAAAGCTGGCGCACATTACGCAGCAGACCCTGAGCGCACATGGCCAAGGACACGCAGCCATGAGGGGAAGTTTATTGTGTTGCTTATTGCACCAAATTGGAGATCCAGAGAGAAGAAGAAAGGGGAGGGCTGTTTGTGCCGTGTTTGGGGAAGTGGGAATGCAATTGTCTTAACTACAGCGATGATGCTTATGTTCATTTTGTTCTGGAAGACACGATAATGACTATGTTCACTTTCATGTTTTATGTGGAAGAGTTTTGAAGGAAATGTGATAATTGGTTTGATGAACACTTCCATCTAGTGGCGCAAGTGGATCATTGTATTGTGCTATTATTTAGATGGAAATCTGACATGGTACAACATGAAGCTCTGCGGTTGGAAAAAGCATCATTTGATTGGAAAAATAGCATGTTTTGTTTTCACAGTTGCTATGACGTCATAGAATGAGGATTCGTCATTGCATAAAAATGAAAAGCATTGGGTGGAGCTGTTTGTGCCAGAATAAGCTCAAAGAACTGTACGTTTTGTGAGGAGGAACATTGTAACATTGTTCTTTTCATGTTCTTTCATGTTTCACTGCTATATTTAGCAGTGTTTGAGGGAATTTGTGAAATAATCATTGAAAATCTATCAATGTGATGTTAATGTTGTAATTTTGAGTTGCAATTTTCTTTGAAATTGTAAAACTGATCAAAAAATAGCAAGCCTCTTGTGTGGGCATACTTATACTTATATATGTGAAATAACATCAATGATGTTTTTACCTTTTCCAGAAACATATAATGCAACTCTCATGTTGCTGCAATGTATATTAATATGTATTAGTGTCTATTTACTCATACAGCTATATGTTTCCCCCGAACACTAATTAACACTGCTGTCTCTCTGCCTGTGCCTGGCCTGTGTTGCATGTGCTGTTTGTATATTTGTTTATGTAAGTGTATGTCAGAATCAGAATTCTTCTTATTGCCATGTGAGTCACAACAAATCACTATAAGAAATAAATATAACCCTCTCTCTTCTGTTATGTTAATGTTATTTAAAATGTCCGATGTTCTCTTCTTCTCCTTTAAAGTAACATGACTACTTCTACGTGCCATATCGACGTAAACTGAGACTGCAGAACGGAAGCGTGGCGCTGGATACTCCAGACTGAGTTACAACAGTGCAATATTACACAATTGTTTTTCATTCAGAAGATGAGAGCAAAAGTCAGTTCTGTTTTACACCGTCTCGGCCTTAATCATTCATTTAGTTTATTGCTTTCAACTGTCTGGATTAATATTTGCTCTTCCGTTCATAATAATCACAGCTTTTGTATATTTCTGAAACCCTTAACTCCGCTCAGTCGTGCTCCCTGCGCACTGACGTGTCCTGGCTTTAATTAAACTTTATTAGCGGGGTCTTGTTTTACACATTTTAATACATCAATAAACCTTCTGTGATTTTTTTTAAACATCTTGTTAAAAAACTGTAAAATTCACAAACAATTCTATATAATTCCGTGAATGCTTTCTTAAGGCACCCTTCCGCAAATGCAGATTTATTTTTAAGTGACGTGTCTATTTCAAAATTCTATTAAATCACATCAGGCAATTCATATTATTTTGCTATTTAATACATCACAAAAATAAACACATAGGCCTGCATATATATATATATATATACTCGTTGATCATATATATATATATATATATATGATCAAATTACACAATAAAAACACGAGTATTAATATTGTTATTTTTAGTTAGTTAGTTAGTATAGTAGAAGTAATAGTAGTAGTGGTAGTAATAATAATAATAATAATAATAAAAAACTCTTACTGCCTCCAATAAAGACTACATGACGCATTTTAATTAACCGGGTTATGAGATCAGGTTATGAAACGCTCTGAAAATGATATTTCGGCTTTTAAATTAAACTATTAAATTCACAGCACAATTTGAAAAAGATAATTTCATATATTTGACTATTAGACATCTTTCTTCATATCCATCATACACCGTTTTACGCATACACACACAACACACACACAACACACACACACACACAACACACACACACACACACACACACACACACACACACACCGCTGAGCCCTCGTCATAAACCAGTATATTGTCCCAATCCCAGGTAAATCCAGTCCATCAGGCCCTGGCTTTGGTCCTAACACCTCCGCGCGCTGATGGCTCTGGATGTGCCATTTACGCGCAGGGGCCGGTCATTAGCCAAAGGCGCACTATATGGCCCCGGTTCAAACGCTTTATGACGGCCCTGCTTTGAGACTTTATGCCTTTGTTGCCGCAGTTTAAACTTGGATTGTGTGCGCTGCGGGCCATGCACAACAGGATGGCATAATGAGGAAATGGGGCTATTCTCATTTTCGCTTTTTACGCACCGCATTTAGACACAATCCGATAATAAAACGCGCGTGCTTTACTACGTTAATTCTCGTTCAACTGCATTTTTATTGTGAGTCCCATGAATATTTGAGATTTGGCTCTACGTGACGTTAATATAAGCACAACCCACGCGTCTGCTGCATGGTGTTTGCATGAGGATTGCTTTTGTGATGGTCATGGTTTGGTGAAATGTTATAGAAGTACTTTTGGAGATGTACAAGACACTGTCCAAGTCCAACTGTATTTTCAGATTCTGCTAATTTAATACTCTTGGAGCTTGTCTGGAAATCCTGTTTTTAGTCGATCGATCCATTCATCGGTCAACTATGATTATTATTCCTATGATGCTTTGGGAAAACTGCAAAGAACAGACGCAATGAAGAAATTCTGCAATTAGTTTCACCTTTACATTGTCATTCAAGCCAGGTCAATCTTTCAATTTAGTGGTATCTTCAATACATATTATAAATTGCCAAATAGTTAAGTAATTCTATTCCTAAAGTTGTGTTTGCATGGCAAGTCTTGTGAGTGCACTTTAATCTATGGATACATGATCGTTCTTTTTTTTGCCTTTGCCGCTGATGAGCTGATAAATGGATAATCAATATCTCAGGTCCCTGTCCCTGTGAAGTCCTTATCCCTTTGCTCGAGGCCTGTCCCTATGCTAGTCCTGCCCCTGGATAGAGTCCTGTCCCTATGCTAGTCCTGTCCTTGTGCTATAGTCCTGTCCCGCTCTCGTGACAGTCAGGTCCATGGTTGTGAGGCGCCCGCTCCATTGAGCCTCTCTGAAATCTGTGTTGTCTTCTCTTTGCTCAGCTCCATGATGGATGTCTCTACGTATAGCCTCACAGTGGGCGGGACTTAGCGCAGTTCAAGCCCTCCCATTGGCCCAGTGCGGCTCGCAGACAGAGGAGGGGAGGGGGGGCTCTTGTGATCACATCCAGCATGTTTTGCACTAGAAATGTCAGCCAGAAAGGGCTACTTTGTGCCTTGGCCCAAACCCGCTACAATAATGTCTTGTCCGGAGAGCGCGACCGGGAGCGCGTTCCTGGTGGACTCTTTGATCAGCGGCCGCGCGGACTCAGCATCCGCAGTGCACTACAGCGGCGCGCCTGACATGCCCTATGGACTCCAGCACTATGGATACTTCCCTGCAGGTACGAAGAGGAGCGAGCCGGGCCCTGCGTACGTCTCCAGCGTGGACGTGTACATGGACGCGCGCAGGTCGTGTCGCGTGGACGCAGCAGACACGGCGGCTCCTGCGTGCTCGTTTCCCCAGAACATTAAAGAGGAGAGCGGCTATTGTCTGTACGAGCAGCCGCCGTGTCCCACCGCGTCCACGGCAGAAGACCTCACGTACTCTCGCCTCACGTCGTCCGCCTGCGCACTCAGCGACACTTGTGGAGGCGGCAGAGAAGGCAGGGGCTCGGTGCCAGTGCCGGGCTACTTCCGCTTGTCTCAGACGCACGCACACGCTCATAAACTTTACAGCAGCCCCCAGCCCCAGCCACCCCAGCCGAGCCCTTCACACGCACTCTACAGCCCTCACGCAGCCGCTCCCACCGCGTCCTACCACGCCGCTCCCCTGTCTTCCAGCGCTCCTCCAGAGACTGTGGACGAGCAGAGTCCAGGGAGCGCGGATCCTCACGTGAGCGCAGAGCCTCGTGGGTCTACGGACGGAGAGGAGTCTTCAGCTGAGGACGCAGAGGAGCAGGACAAGGACGCCTCAGCCAACTCCAGTAAAGGTATGACGCGCACGTGAGGAGGACGCTGCTGGATCAGTGCCTCTCAAACACACACATACACACACACACAGCTGTCTACAGAGTGTACAAGGGGTAGCACTATTCATGTGGAGGTTTGAAACATGTCCAGTTAGAGTGTGTGGATTCATACTATCATTAAAAGCTGGGTTACCTAAGTTGTTTCATTCATAAATAATACATGCTCCAACCGAATATAGAAAGAATCTTGTAAAACTATACATTGGACAACTTCTTGTCTACATCCATTTAGAAAATGTGTTATTTTGCACAGACGTATAAAAAAAAGATCCCTGTGAGTCACTATTGCTGACTAAGTGAGGGTGGTCCAAGATCGCTGATCTTAAGATGGGACAAATAGGACAAATATGCATGAACGTGGTGGTACAAAACTGTCATATAGCCATATTTATAGTTACAGCGATTGTATTACATGGTATGTGGTTTGAAAGTTAGGTACCCCAGCTTTAAAGTGACCATTCGCCATTGTGCAGCGTCCTGAGCCAACTTTAAACTCCCCCAAAATGTCCAAATCTGTATCTTACGTAAAACGCAGAAAAGTAGACACAGTATTTGGCTGTCTTTATCATTTGAGTCACTTGAACTGATCTGTGCATGAATCCTTTAACAATATATATGCCATAACTACACAATACTTCAATTACTGTAATAACGTGTCCTAGAGACGCGCATGAGGCTCGCTACACTGTCGCCTACGAAACACGTCTAATAATATGAGCCACACATGTAGACGTCGGAGTGGGCATGCCCTTTTGTCCCCTATGGCGGTGGTAGGTGTGGCCCTGCACCATGAGCGTGACCAGGCCATGGTGGCACGCACGCGCACACGACCCCCATTGCCATTTAGAGCCATACACAAGCATTTACGTGCGGGTTAATGAGATAAACCTTGTCGCGTAGACACTTTACCTTGACAGCAGTGACTTTGGCATCTTAGACTGTACGTGTCCTTGTTTTGTGGCATTAGCTGTAGTTTGTTGGCGTTGGACTTGCTCCTGCGTAATGGGAGCTCTGTGGGTATTCTTAGGTCATGGTTCTCTCTCGCACGGAGCTGCGTCACTTTGCTATGCTGGATTCTAATGTGGATTTTGTCACTATTGAGTCCACATGATATATGTGCAAAGAGCTGCACACAATCGGAAATAAACGCTCATTTTCTGCAAAAGAATCATAGCAACAGACGCATATGGCTCTAATAGTACAACTTTGGAACAATATAATTCAAAAATATATAATGAATTGTACTAGTAAACATTTTAAAGTTATTAAGATTTCAAACGTATTCTCATTGAGTTGATATGACTGCAAAATTAACTAAAATTTTATTAATACAAGGGTTTATTAAGAATAACAAAACATGTATGAATATGTAGCATAAAAATGTTTAATTGTACAATAATACTGTTTGAATTGTATGTAACATAGTATTATTGGATAGCAATCATATAACCATATATAAGAATGTTCAATATGCAGTAAACGTATAAGGTGTAACACAATCCTTAAAAATATTCACAGTAATCACGCCATATCATGCACGTCCTTACGCACTTTCACAGAATATTTACGCAAATGTATTCTCATCAGAAGCTGCACTGGACAAGTAACAACGTGGATGGATCCATCCTGCTCCATATTATTCCATTATTCTGCATAGACTTTTGAAGAACGCAAATGCAGTTTCACCGCGAGTAAAAAGTGTGAAATTGTTCTTCGCACTGCAAGAAAAGCATCATGAGTTTTACATGACTTCAAACACGGACGAATTTTCTATAATTGGGGAAAATATATATTATAGTTTAAGTAAACAAATTCACGATGATGCCATTAATAATCATATAAGAACAAGGTTATTCTAAAATAAAATAAAAACTGCCAAGTCAACAATATATGGTCGTATTCAGGTCACTCCAACTCATCAAAAATATTATTATTTTTCAAAAAACGCCTCTTGGCACCATCCCCAAAGCTTTACCTTATTCCAACCCAGTTCCGCTTTGCTCAAAGCGCCAAAGCACTGCAGTACAAAGACTGAGCCATTGTTCCTAAATGATCCGCGTTTCCGAGACTTTTATGGCGCCTCATTATAATGGCGCTGTTGTGCTGTCGGAGATATGATCTGAGCCTTTTCAAGTTTACTTTAGACTCATCTTTCATCTCTTTAAGCCACACGGAGTGCCATGTTTTAATAGGAAAGCGGGATTTGCGCTGGTTCTGTTTTACGAGAGTTAAGCGGTTTTATACGTGCATTTGGTGCAGAGTCGGTTACGTGAAGACTGAGACGTGTCCCAGCAAATATGTGACGTGCAGACAATACTCCCACGTATCAGAGCTCGCGCACAAATTCTGTATTGAAAATGATGTATATTTACAATGGCACTCACACACGTTTAAACCTGAAAATACGTGCGTTTGTGTGTGTGTGCGTGTGCGTGTCTCTGCGTGTGTGTGAGTGTGCGTGTCTGTGCGTGTGTGTGAGTGCGTGTGTATGCGCGCGTGCGTGTGTGTGTGTTTGTAGGTGTGTTTATTTGTGCATGTGCGTGGGTGTGTATTGTTTTTTTAATTTAGTACGAAACGGTCTCTAAAGATAATAATTGAAAGTTATTTTACTGTTGTTTGAGTAGTGAGAATAATTAGACAATTCATCATCTCTTGTACTTTGATTATTAGTCGTGGTGGATGCATTTATTTGTCTGTCAAAAGGAGCTACACACACCTAGTCATACACAGACACACACAAACACACTCACACACACACACACACACACACACACACACACACATACACACACACACACACACACACACACACACTGGAACAGCAGGGGACAGATAAATAGACAAGACAGATAGCAAAACCACATATGTACAGCAATAAATAAGTGTAATTACAGAAACACATAGAACTGAGGGAAAACCATAAAATAACCACAAATACAAATAACCCACATGGCTCAGTCAGATATAGTGTTGTGAAAGTTTCTTCTACTACAGGTCAGTATCAGAGTGCTCCAAACAACAATAAACAAGCTGTAAATGTTTAGACAATATTTACATTTGTGTGCTTTAAAAACAGAACTTCAAGAATATTGGTTCATATAGTATTCTGTATAATGTACATTTGTGTCCTGACTCCTGGGTGAAGGAACAAAACAACAAATTGGTAAATTTTCTCTAAACTATCAGCTGCATTTGTTACACTGCTCTTATTTTGAGATAAAAAAGAGACAATTTTAGACTTACCACAGACATTCCCAATTCCTTTAATCATCATTTTTTTCATCTTCTAAAATATATGAACCAATCTGCATTCAAAGACGTTTTTACTTTTATGGACATTGGTCTCTGCCCCTTATGGACCAATGGCTCTGTGTTTTTATCACTGCATTTCCTGTGTTTGAGCTGGTTGATTCTCAGATCTGTGTCGCCGAATCAACAGCTTTGTAAATTCCTCAGAAATAGTTATTGTTCCGTTATAGGGCTATACAAAAAATATAAAAAATCATTGAATTGAATTGATTAATTAAACAAAATCATCAATATCTTGAAATACAATTGTACAATCTGCTTTAGTCCTGCAAAATCAGAGAACTCTATCAACCAGATTATAACACACTATTACACCTGTGACAGGCAGAAGGAAGCTCCTGTCCCAACACGTATATGCCCCAGAATAAGATCTCTCTCCCTCTCTCTCTCTCTATCTCTGTCTCTCTATCTCTGTCTCTCTCCCTCTGTCTGTCTCTCTCTCTCTCTATCTCTATCTCTCTCTCTCTCTCTCTCTCTCTCTC